TGTTGGTCTGCTTCTTGTGCAGCGGACACAATGTTGAACCGTTGATCGAGCCATTATCTTTCCCTTGATGGGCCAAAATTGAAGTCGGATTTGTGACAATAATGCTTGTGCACCACAATGCATGTTTTTTCTATGAACATCAACGAAAACACTTTTCACAATTGGATCATTATATGGCAATACCATTGGATGTTTGGTATCATAAGCTATAAGTGATGATGAAAGTCGACCTCCGACTCTTAGAATTCCGTTACTATCTAAGAATGGACTTAAACTAGAGAGAGAACTAGTTTTGTGCACTGTGCCATTTGAGTGTAATTGCTGCAATTCTTCCCTGAAATCGCTTTGTTGTATTATACGTATGATTACTTGTAATGATGAGTTCAACTCGTCTGGACTTAATATTAAAGAGGTAGTGTGCCTGTTGTCTCTGCCTTTGGAGTATTTTACAAATCGTAGTGCGTATGCAATGATTCGTTGCAATCTTGCAAACGAGTTTCTATAATTGATCTTATAGATGAAATCTTCAGTAATGCTGGTGATTGCTGAAGTTACGATTGAAGGTTGTGTTGAGCGTTGCATTTCAAGCGCCCTTCTTTTGGTTTCAGAATGATCAGTTATAAGATGTTCCTGAGCAATTGGACTTGGCCATGATGATTCGCTTCCATATAAAAACAGTGGTCCAAAAAACCATATGTGACTGGAATGTAATTCCGTAGGTTGTAAACCCCTTGATAGGTGATCTGCTGGATTTAATTTGGACCTTACATGACGCCATTGGCTTGCATTAGATATTTCATGAATTCGTGCTACTCTATGTGCTACAAATGTTTGAAAAATATTTGAGTTAGAGTTGATCCAGTATAATACAACTTGTGAGTCTGTCCATAAAAAAGATTTGTGGTTATCGTATGCAAGATCTTGTTTAACCTTCGCTAACAGTTGGGCTCCCAGAAGTGCTGCACACAATTCTAATCGTGGAATTGTTTGCCTTTTTAATGGCGCTACTCTTGATTTTGAGCAAAGTAGCCGTACTATGATTGTACCTGTTTTTAGAATTGCTCTTACATAGATTGCTGCTCCATATGCCTTTTCAGATGCATCTACAAAACAATGTAATTGAATATCTAATGGAATTTCATGGTTAAAAACATGTCTCGGAATGATCATATTATTAATTTCTTGCAGTCTTGACCGAAACTTAACCCATTCGGCTTCATATTCATGAGGTAACGGATCATCCCAGGTTGTCTTTAATTCCCAAATTCGTTGAACAAATATTTTTGCTGTGACTATGATTGGTGCTACCAATCCTAATGGGTCATAAACTCTTGCTAAGTCTGAAGCTACTGAACGCTTAGTAAAAGTTGTACATGGTGTTATACTTGTTGTTATGCACAAATTATCAAGCTGTGGTGTCCAAATCATTCCCAAAGTCTTAGCTGTTTTGAACGAACAAGTAGAAATATCCCAACAGACTTCTTGATCATGTGGTGAAATGTTTTGTAGCAATTGTGGGTGATTAGCGTACCATTTTCTTGGCTTAAAACCATATGATTTCAAAATGTTAATTAGTTGTTCTTGAATCACCTTAGCCTCTATCAGACTGTTAGAACCACATAATCCATCATCGACATAGAAATCTCTTCGTAGGGTCTCTGCTCCAAATGGATAAGTACCAGAACTTTCTCTTGCTAAAGTTTGTAAACATTTGGTAGCTAAGTATGGAGCTGATCGAGTCCCATATGTCATAGTTTTTAGTTTATAAAATCGTAGCGGCTCTTGTGGATTATTTCTCCAAATGATTAATTGTAGCATTTGATCTTCTGGGTGAATAAGTATTTGCCTATACATTTTCTCAATGTCCGTTGTGAAAGCGTATCTTGGAATTCTGAATCGTAATAATATTGAGAATAGATCGCTCTGTACCACAGGACCAGTATGCATAATGTCATTCAATGATTGACCTGATGAAGTTTTACTAGATGCATCAAACACAACACGTAATTTTGTCGTGGTGCTATCTGGTTTTATCACGCAATGATGAGGAATGAAATAATGTGAGGCCATGATGTCATCAGGTTGAATTTCTTCCATGTGACCGAGATCTTTATACTCAGTTATAAACTGCACGTATTATGTCCTTAATGCTTCATTTTTTGACAGCCGTCGTTCAAGAGAGAAAAATCTGCGTTGTGCAATTTCACTAGAGGATCCTAATGTTGATACACTGTCAATAAGTGGCAATTTCACAATAAATCTGCCTTCTTTAGTACGTTTCAAGTTTTCCACAAAATGAGTTTCATATAATTTTTCTTGATCAGACAGTAGTTTTGAATTTTGTGCTGATTCTTCAAGATCCCAAAATCGGACGAGAAGATTATTTAGCGAATCTTCTTCTTCGCTAAACATACAACAGACTGCGTCACCTTTTGCTGTTTCTGATAGTTTGCCACTTACAACCCATCCAAGAGTAGTATTCTGGAGTATTGGTTTGTCGACTCCCAATTGGATTTGCCCTGACGTTAAGAGATGTGGATAAAATTCAGCTCCTAATAATACGTCTATTTTTTGTGGCTCATTGAAGTTAGGATCAGCTAATGTAATATTTTTTGGAATGTTCCATGAACTGATATTGACACATTGTGTTGGTTGTGGAGCAATAATATGTGGTAACACAAATGCTTCTAAATTTGTATTGAAATTGCTATTCATTGATTTAAAGACAGTGCTGATTCTTTGACGAGCACCCTTTGTGGTGTTACCAACTCCATTTATACGCATTGATGTTGCTTTTGGAGTTATTCCTAGTCGATGAGCTACCCTCTCGGTCATTAAATTAACTTGAGAACCTGAGTCTAATAATGCTCTACATTGAATTTCTTGGCCGTTACGTGCCAATAATCTTATAGTTGCTGTTCCTAAGAATACATATTGCTGTTCATTGTGCCTTCTTGCAATAGTTAATGATGCTTGATGATCAACGCTTAAACCTGTGCTTACATTGCGTTGAGTATTGTTCGACTTTGGTATTGTTGTATGTTTTTCAGTGCCATTAACCCATGAGTTTACATGTAGTAAAGAGTTGTGTTTTTGATTACATTTGATACAATTGCCTGATTTACAGTTGTATGCTATATGACCTGGTCGCAAACAGTTACGACATAAGTTTTGTTTTTTAACAAATTGTAGTCGTTCAAAAGTATTTGCTTGTAAGAACCCTTTGCATTGGTATATTTGATGTAAATCTTGCTTACAATATATGCATGATTGCCTGATTGATTTGTTGATTGTTGCGGTATTACATACCTTTACGTTATTATTGGTAGTACTCTTTTGGCCGATTGCTTCCAGAGTTTGAAAACGTGTTTCAATGAAACTTAGAAACCCTGTCATTGATTGTAATTCCTTTGGCCTTGCCAATGATTGCTCATACAACGTATGTGTAGTTGCATCCAGCTTCTTTGTTAATAAATGAAGGAGGAGTGGATCCCAATGAACTGTTTGAACATTTAAGTTATTTAATGCCAACAAACATTCATGTATGACATCATGTAGTGACTTTAGAGACATTGCAGTGCCAGAGCATTGAGGTTGTCCGAGCAGCCGTTGTATTAACATGGTTGTTAATATCCTCTTATTCCTGTATCTCTCCTGAAGTATCTTCCATGCTACGTCGTAACTATCATTGGTAGTTGGCAGATGTCTGATGAGCCTCTCTGCTTCTCCTGATAAATTATTTTTTAAAAACCACATCTTTTGTACCTTGGGTAGTGATTGGTTGTCTACCATTTGAGAGAACATATCATAAAATTGTGTCCATTTAAGATAATCTCCGCCAAATTGCGGTATAGACACCTTCGGTAATTGGATTGGATTGTTAGTTACCTCTGTTGTAACTACATGTGGTTGTTTTGTTATTATCAGCTCAGAAATTGAAATCAAAGTTTGTTGTATTAATTCCTCTAATTGTTGATAATCGTCTATATTGTAACCAATTGATAGTGGGTCACTAGCGATTTCCCATATATTAAAATTGAGTTCCTCAATTTCTTGCCACAACTTGTTGATTTTTATTTTGTATATTTCCAATGCAGTAAACGTGTTTGATCCCAAATCTCCTTGGACCTTCTCCAATAGTCGTTTTAATGATATTTTCATTCCCATTTGCTTGTTAATGAGACATGAAATTTCTGTTTGTTTAGATACTTGCGACTTCTTGCCGGGATTTGCTTCATCACTGAACTCCTGTAGTTGCTGAGTGAATCGAGCAATGTAGCATTCTGCTAAGTCTTTAGTTTTTAAATAATCCTCATTAGTAAAATATTCATGAGTGGTTTCGACATCTGACAACTCCCTGATACGGTTGTCATTTTCTTCAAATTCAGACCATATATTAGTTAAACGCCTTTTACGTTCTTCAAAGTAAGCTTTATTCAATTTCCTTTCTTTTGGATCCTTTTTGAAATTCGAAATCAATTTCTGGATTAATTGACCCAGTTGTTGCTGTTCGAGAATTAACCCCTCAAAAGTTTCCATATTTGTTTCCAGCAAATCAGGTACCTTGGTGCTTGTAATGTGTTCGCAGCTCACACTGTTGTGCTCTTGCTGTTTTATTGAAAGCTCACACTTGTTGTGCTTTTGCCTTTTATCTGCTTGAAGCTCACACTGTTGTGCTCTTGCTTCGACGCCTTAATAAAGTAGTACGTGATCGTGATCTTTGGTCACGTCCTTGATTTACGTCCTTGATCTACGTCGATCACGTCGGGGTCACCAAAATTTATGTATATTTAAAATACCTTAATCCTTATAATATTCAATAAGCACTTTAACTTATTGAATATTGCTTATTGGTTATAGAGTAAGCACTTGAAACTTACTCTATATAAAGCAGAATTAGGTTTGACGAGAATCAAAGAATAGATTTTATTGATTGATTACTTTCTTTATTGTTTCAATTTCTTTTATACAATTTTTGTGCAATAATTTTATTAATAATAATAATACCTCAGCAACGAATTAATTGGAACATTGTTAATAATGCAAAATGCAACGTTGCATATTTCACCGTTGCTCCAGTTAAGTTGTTGCCTCAGCTTAACATAAATATTCAAAATAAATTATTTCACAATTGCTAAATTGCTTAAAATATAAATTGAATGACACAATTTAACAATGCGAAATAATTTATTTATTACTTAATTTCTACCTTAACAATTGTTTTGCTAAATTCTTATCATTATCATTTAATAGTAAAGTTCAGGGCATATGCATGGAAAACGAAACCAGTTACTGAAAAGAAACACCTACTAAAATACGAGTACTACTAGGGTAAAAATCTTACATACAATATTTAAAAACAAAATTTACAGTGAAATGGTTTTACCGACATAACTTTAATTTAATAAAATTAAATGTCTATATAATATTAAGTTTATTCCATCTTTCATTTTACATCTGAACTGATTTATTTCTTTGATAACTAACACCGGCTTTCACACATAATACAAAATAAAAAGTGCTATTTCATAGCAAGTTTATGCTCTTAACTTTTTATTATTGTTACCTGTTTTAGTATATAAGATCAAGTGTGTAGTTGTCTATTGTAGAACTATATGTTCAATATTTATACATAAAATGTGACTGAAAGTAGATTGACATGCAATTCCATCTTTTTGCACCTTAAATAATCATCAGGTTGTGGGTTTTAATAGATATTAAAGAGATGTTTAAAATATCTACACTAATAAGAATATAACTGAATTCAATGATCATATATTAACAAATACAAATATTTACGAATATATAAGGGGAACCATCAGTTATATTTAAATAAATTGTTCGTATGAAACTACCAATTCTATTATTAAGTATCTTAATGAAAGAGAAAAGTATGAAAATTGCATAGAAAATAAAGTTAAACCAAGATTGATTAATTTTATTATAAAAGAGATATAAATATTTTCAGAATAGATATTCGAATATACAGACAAAAAAAATATTATTCTTTCTTTGCAAAAATATTCCACAATAAACAACGCTCCTATTATAAATAGGAAACTAGCATTAAGTAATAAAAGGTTTCAAGATATATTCTACTCTGCGATTTACATGCATCACTAACATCCCTTATAAACTAAGTAAATATTGGGTATGGAGTACCTTCTGCTCAAAAAGTACTCGGATTTTGTAAAGAAAACATACAAATTTAAATTTTATTCCAAATTTATTTTATCTCCTTCAAAATATGCTCCTTCTGAAGCGTAACACATATGCCAACGCTTACCCAATCTTCCATACACTTTTCGTAGGCCCGTGAAGGTATGGTTTTTAGTTCCTTCAGCGAATTCTCTTTTACCGATGTAATTGACTTAAAACGCTTACCATGAAGGGGCAATTTGAGTTTTGGGAACAGGAAAAAATCGCACGGATCCAGATTTGGCGAATATGGTGCATGAGCGATGACAGTGGTGCCGTGTTTGGTCAAAAAATCGCGTACAACAAGAATTTTCCATAGTAAAAATTGCTAAATGCACTTGAGGTAGTCTCACATTATCAGCTGCTGTAAACAAACAAATTGACAGATGGCGCTCAAATTTGTACCATATAGCAAGAAAGGGTGTACCAATAGGGTGGTCCAGAAAAACTAAAATACGATTTTTAATGAGCGCACGCCCTAGGAATATGCCATTGACCTTAAAAATGGTATTCCCAAAGTTTTGGAACAATAGGATTAAAAATGACGTTGCGCCACTCGAGCAAAGTTGGGTTTTCAGTACAAAAAACAGAAATTTTTCAATTCGAGGTCATTTTTTATCTTTGTTACTTGTTTCAACAGTTATTAATATATACTCATCTGATAGATAATTAAAATATCTTTTTAATAAGATACGGATGAGCAAAATCGGTTAAAAATTATGCGCAAAACACAATAATTAGTTGAGCGACTGTGCTCTGTTTTCTATTTCATAACTTTTAGCTGGCATGCACAATTACGTAATAGGTATATGCTACGATCTAGTTAATTATAAATAAAAAATTATAATTTCAAGAAAACCCATTTTTCAGTAATTAATATATTGTGTTTATTATGTTTTATAACATAAATCTGACTATGTGAAGGATAATTTTTATGATAATGATCGACTACTTGCACAACATATTGTTTTTCCTCTTCATATTTTGTCGAAATTGAATTATAATCCATCATAAGCCTAATTCCTCTTTCTATACAATCATTTATTATATGAAGTCTGGCACAGAATTCAAGTGCATCTCTATAATCTTGCGTCTCCATCCATGGCGAAGGATCGAAACTGATAAAACTATTAGATAGGCAAAAACGATCCAAGAAATTTGTTATTTCGTCGGTCACAAAATCAATAAGGTTCTTTGAGGAAAATAACTTCATTAGTGGGTTCCCACTCTTTATCTAACCAGAGATGGCTGAGAGCTTGGATCTATGACCGGTAACTCTACAGTTACTATCTGTGCAGATGGCTCAAAGATGGAAGGCGGTACGGGAGCAGGTATCTTCTCGAAAGATATGCAGATAAGACAGTGCTACCGAATCCCTGCTACTTACAGCGTCTTTCACGGCGAGATATATGCTAAAAGAGGTCAACATTAGACAAAAAAGTACAATTCGTCCTTCGAATCTACAAAAGCAATTGAATTTAAATTCCAAGATAGTATTAAAATGTCGCGGTTCACTGATGGGCATCCAACATCATAAGGTCTCTCTTTGTTGGGCATAGTACATTTCGAATATTTGTACATAGCAATATTGAAGGGAACGAACTAGCAGATGAGATGGCCAAAAGAGGTTCTGTACTGCATACAGGAGAGGCCGACCTCTCAATACATATACCGATATGTAAACTGTATAGGATAATAGAGGAAATCAATACGGTGACTAACAATTTATAAACTAACCGCGAAGACTGTAAGGTCGCTAGAATCTTATGGCCTAAGTTGGACAAAAATAAAACGAAAAGCATTTTAGGCTTCAACAAACCTGCAGTTCGTGTGCTTTCTGGAGTACTAAATGGGCACTGTGACATTGCGCCGATGCTCCAACGGTTGCGAGTTCTAACAAGTGGATTATGCAGGAGTTGCTAAGATGAAGAGGAGGTAAAATCTATCAACCACTTCCTGCATCTCTGTCAAGGACTTCAAACAAGGCTACTTTAACGTCTTAGGGATCCTTATTTTACTGGCGTGGAAGAGATAACGAAAGCAAACTTATCGGATCTCCTCAACTTCATCTGGAAAGCCAAATGGTTTAACAAGGATAACAAAGATTAGCAACTCGCATCTCCTGGTAAAATTTTTTGAGGGCATCCCAATGGGCAATATATGTCTCCGAGTAGAAGTGCTGACAACTGTTAGCACGTGCCTTCCGAACATAACCTAACCTAGTATGGGTTAAAATTTTCACACATATGCTCACCATAAAAATGTATATATCTCGTACAAATCATCCGAGTTATATGTAAATTGATCTCTCAAAATAAACATTTTTAGTAAGTACATGATTTTCGCCATCCATCGAGAATCTTAGATGGCACCTGGGCGCCACAGGAATCGTTCTGTCTGCGTTATCCCAATTTTGTTGAACTGTGACTAAAGATTCAGCTTCCATTTTGAGACAATTTCTTCATCGAATTTATTCCAATTAAAATCAATGGAATTTTTAGCCGCTCTTGCTTCGTTTGCTAAAAGGATACTAACTTCAGTCATACTCCCTGTACGACTATTTTCTCTTTACTTACGAAAAAATTCTTGTTTTGACTACATTTTCAATTCTACTTAAATGTCTATATAAATTATTAAGTAGAAATGTATTATTTTTATTTTTTATTTATGTTTCTTCCGTTTCTTGTAAACATTTGCGATTGCATTGTGCATGCCAGCTAAAAGGTATGAAATAGAAAACAGAGCACAGTCGCTCAACTAATTATTGTGTTTTGCGCATAACTTTTAACCGATTTTGCTCATCTGTATCTTTTTAAAAAGATATTTTAATTATCTATCAAACGAATATATTTTAATAACTGTTGAAACAAGTAACAAAGATAAAAAATGACCTTGAATTGAAAAATTTCTGTTTTTTGTACTGAAAACCCAACTTTGCTCGAGTGGCGCAACGTCATTTTTAATCCTATTGTTCCAAAACTTTGGGAATATCATTTTTAAGGTTAATGGCATATTCCTAGGGGGTGCGCTCATTCAAAACTTCATTTTTAATTTTCCCCCTTATAACGTGAGCCACCCTAGTGTACCAACATAAAAAAAAAGTTTTGAAAAACGTCTATTACTTAAGGGCTAGTTAACAAATAACAAAATACTTTTTGAAAAGAAGGTATTGAAGAGAATCATCAATATTAGCAAACTATTTTGAAGAAATTCTTAAATTTAGATATATACACCAACTCCATATAAAATACAGGAGAGAATATATTCAAAGCAAACCTAAAAAAAAGAGACATCAGGTCATGATTGAATATTTGGATCATTTGGATCACCGGATAGACAGC